CTGCTATCTTTAAAGCTACCTCATTGTCTGAGCTTTCAGCCTGTATGTGAAAATTGCGCTATAAAGGCTGAGAGTCAAATTTTAGAGCTTTCCTGTGAAGCACCTTGGGACTCCTTAATTTGTTAAACATGCTAAAGATTGCAGGTGATAGTTGCGGAACATCACCAAGCCCACCATATATCTCTCAGCAAAAATCCTCATCTGCAAGACTGTTTTGGAAGCTCAATGGCTCCAACATTGATTCCTATTTTCCTTTGGCACAGTCTAGGACACTAGACCAGCATGACACTATGGCTTCAAAGCTGATCAATGTAATATTTGAGTGTATTCTGGTGTTGAAAACGTTTCTTCAGTTAAATTGCATTAAATCTTCAAGGTCCTGCATTACTTCTCAGTACTAAATTATACCAGGAAAGGTTTTTGAGACTACAAATGGAGCTTCACTGTCTCGCATTGAACTCTAACAGACTGATTGATTTGATGAACAGCGTGTCAGCAGAAAACCACACCAGAAGTAGCAACATGTTGTGTGGTAGAAAGCAGAAAGCAAAAAGCAATCAATCCAAATTCAGCCAATTATCACAAGCTGCAAACCTTTTGAACACTGCAGAACGCAAAGGGTTAAAAGCATGTTTATGATTGCTAGTTTGCAGGATACCAATCTGAATCGTTAAATAGAAAGCACATTTGTTGCAATGCTATTCTAGCAAGCAAGCATCTTCTTTCACACCTCCAGCATTGCAGCAAGTGTGTGTGTGCGGGCAGTGTGGTTTTCCGTGCCGTACATTTCAGGGGAGTCATTTATCATCTGATTGGCAACTTTATTTTTCCTACTTCCACTCACTCTGCACGTGGACTGCCTGGCCAAGTAACAGTCATGTTTATTGACAAACAGTGGAATGCCATAGCATGACGATGAAAACAAAAACATTGGGCAATACTACTCTTGTCAGTTATGGAGTTGTGTCTGTGATGCATCAGCATAGCATGCAGATTCAACGATGACAAGTGTAATGGCTGGTAGCAACTATTTCAAAACACTGATGCAGATGCCTATATAATAAATGAAAGCACATGCAGAACAGTTGTGTTTTAAGCACTATAATGCTACTGCACCTTTCCTGAAATTGCAACTACCTTTCACAACCTCATTAACATGAGACATTAACTTTCACTTCAGTGAGGATGCTGAGTTGTCAGTACTGCTGAAAATTCCTAATGCAAACAAACAAAAAAAAAATGACTTGCATTTATACAGCATTTTTCAAACCATCAGTCTTCTCAAACTGCCTTATAGCCAATGAAACTGTTTTTTAGGAGCATTCTCATTGTTGTAGTGTAGAAAATATGGGAGCTCACAAATAATAATGTGATAGCACAGTACTGTGAAAGTGCTGCACTGTCAAAGACACAGTCCTTCGAATTACACCAAGGTCCAGCCTGTCCTTTCAGTGGATGTAAAGGATCCATAGGCACTATTCTGAATAAGCATGGCACTTATCTCTGGTCCCTCCATCAACAACACAAATAATGAGTTTATCCAATCGTTTTCACATTGCATGTGGGAAATCACTGTGGCAATTTAGCTAAACTTCAGAAATGAAGACTGCAAAGTATTTTGGGACATCAAATAGTCATGAAGTCCATTGTACAAAGGAAGTCTTTCATTTCCCCCAGAACCGCACTGGGGTATCAGCCTAGATTTTTGTACTGATGTGCTAGAGTGGAATTGGAACTAACAGCTTTGTGTTTCGGAGACAAATATGTTACCCATCGAGCCACTATTCCTATCAATTTTTAGGGTTTATAAAAATATGACAGGTATATGAAATTTCTACAAGTGCATGACAGAGTGGTTGGAGAGTTTAGGACTAGGATTTAATGGACTCAGGATAAGGGCTGAGATGATGTATGGCTAAGATGGACAAAAATGTCTTCACTCAGAGTAACATAGGAAATAAAAGAAGAGGGAGATGATGGTAATATCACAGAACTGTAATTCAGATCCTCAGGCCAACATTTTCACAGGCATAATTTCAAATCCCACCATGACAGACTGCGAAATTTGAATTCAATATAAAAATTGAAATCAAAAGATTGCCTAACAGCATCCATGCAAGTACTGTCATCTCTCAAAAAGAAAATCTGGTTCACTAATGTTCTTTAGGGAAGGATATCTGTCATTTTACCTGTCCTGGCCTGCAATGTGACTCCAGACCCATGGCAATCTGGTTAACATTGGGTAATTAGGAATAGGTAATAAATGCTGGCCTTTACAGGGATGCCCGCGTCCCATGAACAAATAAAAAGAAAAATTAGGCCACTCAGTACCTCTAACCTGCTCCACCATTCAACAAATTCATGATTGATCTGCTCAAAAGTACCAATTTTCCCCCACACAAACCCCATATTCCACAATCTTAAATATTCAGATAGAGTCATGAATCTTTGTAATTCTCTACTCGAGGGCTGGGTATGCCCAGTCCTTTCGGTAAGTTAATTTTGGATACCAAAGAGGCCAGAGATATATAGGGAGAGGGGAGGAAAGTAGAGTTGATGTGCAAGATCAGCTGTGATCTTATGGAATGGAGAAGCAAGCTCAAAAATCTGCACATCCCCCTGCTCCTATTTCTTATGCTCTTATTTATAAAAGACATGCAGAAAACAAGACCGGTCGAGAACAAGTGATTAATAGACACTAAGGTTGTGTGATGCCCAAGGAAGGGAACGTTGATAGATGTAAAGGGAAAAACAATTTTCATGGTCCAGAAAGTGGAAGAGTAAGATTTGGTGGTGGTACAATGAGTCTTCATTTTGTTCCATAATAATAAAGAGAGAAATTAAAGCTCTACTTCTCCAATACATGCAAATGAGCAAACCGTTCCATATTTTCTGCCTGATAATTTCCTCTGAGCACTTCTTTTTTTCCCTCCAATCGTTCTAGTTATTTGATCCATCATGCCACAGATCGTGTTCACCAGGATGACAGAACATGGTCAAACTGCCAGATTAGTCAATAGCTGTTATAAACACCCAAGCTTTTCACCTCACACCTTGAAAATACCCACTGAATAAAGAGTGTCCAGTTACTTCCCCACACATTTGGCATAAGACTAAAATTTAATAGCAATAGGAATGTAACTGTAGTGAAATAGTTTGCTCCATTCCAAACACAGGTTTTTAATGACAGATCTTAATTTCTTTTTCGTAGCTCAAACATTAGAATTGGCACATAGCACTGTCAGATTATGTATTTTACTCTGATTTATAACAGCCATAATGTTACTGCGTCAAGAAACATCATTAACTCTTAAGGAGGAATAAATGGGCAAGAGAATAATCCTCATTTTTGACACAGTGGCATCACAGCCAGTTACTGAAGAAAGCAAATTCTTTGGCATTTGTGTGGCGTGTCAACTAAAATTAAAACCGAAACACTGACAGCGACATAGATTGCAATGGAGTAAAACTTCATGTTTGAAGTTGACAAAATGGGAGCCTAATTGGGACTATATAAATTCATAAGCTAGACCTGCCACAAAAAAGTCGTTACAACTGTGTTTCCCCTGTTCAGAGTATTTGTGGCACTAATTTGGCTATTAAGTGGCTCAGAGAAAGGGTGCTTAGTGCATCAGAGACAGCCTGTAAGGCAATATTGCTGGCACAACTACGTAATTCCGTGACAGTGCAGATGGTTTCCAGATGCAGGTTTGACATCGATTAATCAAAACGAAACCACACGTGGTATCTGTATTCATGTCACAGCATTGCTCTTCTGAGCCACTTAACACCGCTTTGAATGGCTGATATGAGAACACCCCTCATCAAAAGATGCAGCATTTGCTTTCCTACACCTTATCTGGGGCTTTTGTAGAAATTGCTTTCCAAGCAAATATTAGACATGATTTTTCAAATTATTTGAATGCTGTGCATTTGGAAGAATGTGACAGCAATGAGCTTATTATCTTGATTTTAAACTGCTAGTTCCAGTGGAAAGAGAGCTTCGTTCCATTTGCTGAAAGTTAAAGTTTTGTTAAATTTGTTTGTTTGCAGGGCCCGAACAAGTCATCAAACTGAAGGTATCATTTTTTCAAAGAAAAATCAATCTGGAGTATCAATGCAAGAAATCGATCTTATACATCAACACTGCCTACCCATCAGTAATTATGCAACATGTCCACCCAATTAGAAGTACCATATAAACAGTTTA